TCCATCCATCCATCCATCCATCCGGTTTTTCTTACAGGGCCAATTGTACGCATGGCATCTTACAGAACTCCACATGCAAAACGAGAAAAGTTTCTGTCCTCACTCCAGTCCCGAGTGACACACGCCATAAAGGGTGAACATGTAAACCTGGGGGAGTGTGGGAACACTGTGGCCCTGAGCGAGGGTGGGAAATGAGGGACGCCGGGCGCTTCACCCCGATCGCCAGGCCCGCTGGCTCCGGCCACTGGGTCTGGAAGGTTTGCTTCTCTAAAACGACAACACGAGAAACTGCCGAGGAAAGAGGATGGAAAGTCGAGGCGTTGGCGTGGGGTGGGGGCAAGTCAGGCGAGCGCTTATGGGGAGGGCACTGGGCGGCCTCAGGAAACCGGTGGCCAGGCAGGGGGGCTTGCAAGAGACCTTCCCTCCCTCCCAGACCTCAGCTTTCTGCCTGGTGGAGATTAGCTCCCGGATGGGCTGGGTGAGTGGCAGGCGGAAAAGCCAGGCCAGCCCCACAAGCCACAGGCTGCCGATAGTGTCTCTTGGCTCTCTCTCACTCTCTGCATGTGTGTGTGTGCGCGCATGCCCAGGCTGGGTTTTCTGGACCTTTGAACTACCAGGAAGACATCCATAAAGCTTGACACCCCTCCTGGCAGCTGCAGGGGGGTTCGCTGCAACAGCCAGCCAGCCAGCCAGCCAGCGAGGTCCGCACAGGGGCCCCCACCCCATCCCCTTGCAAAGAAAGACTTGGCCTCACAAGCCACACACACCCCCAGTCTTCTCACACTCTAGCAGACCTCCTCCCTGGGTCGCCTTCATCGGGGAAGACCCTTCAGCCTCCACCTGCCTCCCGGAAGCCAACGGGCAACTTTGGGAGCAACAAACGGAAGAGGCGACGCCCTTGGTGTCCAAGATCCCCATAGAGATCGGGAATGGCCTGCCACATCCAGGATCGCACCCCAGATCCCCCCCCCCCGCTTGCCCGCCTCATCCGTGGCTATGCTGGCTGGGGATTCTGGGAGTTGTAGTCTAAAAAGCTAAGCATTTCCCCATCTGTACACTTGAACAGTCCTTCCTGAAGGCTAAACATCCTCCACAGATTGCGTTACCGTGCCCGGGTAGGGGTGTGTGTGTGTGTGTGTCGATGACTAAGGGATTGACAAACTTTTGTCTGAAGAAGTGGGTGGAAAATTCCAACCTGGTGGCCAGAGATTGGGCTGGAGACCGAGCCGCCCCCCCCCCGGGCTAGTTTGCAGTCTCAGTTTGAACTCGCCTCCAGCACGTCTGGCAAACATCTGCCATGAACCTGCGGGGTTTTTATTTACTGTTTTTTTTCCTATACTGCCCATAAATATTGGTGCTCAGCCTGAAGAAGTGGAATTTTTACCCACAAAAGTTTGCTATTCATTTTTTTTATAAAAGAGGTTTAACAAAGGAATCACCTATTCCCTTGCATCGGTGCAGAACTGCATTGCAAACAAGAATCAGCCCAGATCCCACGTGGTCCAGGGTGCTAATTCTGCTGTAACTTGGAACAGGCAGTTGTCCCAGAGAGACAAGGGGGGGGGAAGGTGGAAAACCAACACTCTGGGCTAAAGGACGTGCTTGGCCAGCAGTTTCATTCCTACTAAGCAAACCCAAAAACTTCAGGACTTTCATTGTGGCGGCCAATTCTCTTGCCTAAGAAGAAGAGAAGAAAAGTTCCCTTGCATCGGTGCAGAACTGCATTGCAAACAGCCCTTCAAGAATCAGCCCAGATCCCACCTGGTCCAGGGTGCTAATTCTGCTGTAACTTGGAACAGGCAGTTGTCCCAGAGAGACAAGGGGGGGGGAAGGTGGAAAACCAACACTCTGGGCTAAAGGACGTGCTTGGCCAACAGTTTCATTCTTACTAAGCAAACCCAAAAACTTCAGGAGGCCTTTCATTGTGGCGGCCAACTCTCTTGCCTAAGAAGAAGAGCCCGGCTTATTTCCACAGGGGCCAAGCCTGCATCCTCAGAGGTACTAAACGACTAAACACACACACAAGAAGAAGAGCCGGCTTATTTCCACAGGGGCCCAGCCTGCATCCTCAGAGGCTCTCCCTGCAAGGCTGATTTGTTGTCAGGCTGGCCAGCACTGAGTTAATAATGCCTTTCTGTTTTGAAAGGGCTTTTGTGAGTAAAATTGTGGTTTTCACCTTTTTCTGCCTTCTGGTTCTCAGGCTGCGTTCCTGCCGGCTTGTGTGGTTTTAGAACACCGTCTTAGAAGGGGTTGTTCACATGTCAATGTCAGGACTGGAAAGTTTATCTTCTTAAAATACTGGCATAGTCGGCAAATCACCTCAAGCATCTGCGGCAACTAAATCGTATCTAGTATCTATGGCTTTAGCTGAAAAAGAGAGCCGCCAGAGTGCACAGGATAAAAGTAGCAACAACCAAAACAGAAAATCTGCTTCCATGTCAGCCATACAGTCTGATGGAAATGGCTTAAAACATTGCATTATTCTTAAATAACAAAGCATTTTCCCAAACCATGATTATTCATCATTCATGCCACAAAGATCCATTTTAGCTTGCATTAACTATTCCTTTTTCCCAGGGACGGAGATAAGCCTTGAGAAAAGATGACAGAAAGGTGATATGATAACACTTTTGTAATACTTGAAGTGCTGTCATTCAGAGAAAGGGCAGGATCTATTCTCAGTTATCCCAGAGTGCAGGAGACGGAATAATGGTCTCAAGTTACAGGAAGCCAGATTTTGGTTGAATATCAGGAAAAACTTCCTAACTGTTAGAGCAGTATGACAATGGAATCCATAACCTCTGTAGGTGGCAAGCACTCCAGCGCTGGAGGCATTAAAGAGAAATTTAGACAACCGCCTGGCAGATATCCTTTGATTTGCATTCCTGCCTTGAGCAGGGGGTTGGACTGGATGGCCTTCTAGGCCCCGTCCAACTTCACTGTTCTATAATTCTAAGAACACTGAATGTACAAACATTGTTTGGAACACAGGACATTTCACTCACATTGAGTCACATTTCATGTGTTCTTTTTCCGACTTAACTTGTGCTCCTTTGGATGGAAAGAGCAGGGGCGCAGAAAACCCATGTGCCTAGGTGGAAGTAATCTGTGTTTTGATTAGACTACCGTAATACATTCCATATGGGACGGCCCTTGAAAACTGTTCAGCAGTTACGACTTGCTATAAAACATGAAGGTCAGGATGTGAGCTGGCATTTACTTTAAGACTGCTCTGTTCCTCATCTCAGAGGAGACCAAACTTCTATTTTTCATTTTATTTTTGCTTTCCAGGACCCCGGTTCGGCATTAGTGTCGTCAGCAGAGTTCAAAAGGAGATGTTGAGCGCTCCAATGCTGGAGGCATTCAAGAGACAACTGGAAAAGCATCTCTCAGATCTGTTTTGATTTAAATTCTTGCCCTGAGCACAGGGCTGGACTTGATGGTCTTATAAGCCTCTTATAAGCCTCTGTGAGTCTGTGAAATGGTTCACAGAGTCAGCCACATCAGTAATGAACTTTTTACCAGGTTTGGCAACATTTATTTTCTCTTAACTGAACACAAGTAAGACCAGATTGCAATAACTTTCCAAGCTGTTCACATCTTTTATTAAGAGATCTCAATGGCAAAAAAAGGAGAGGTGTGCATGGCTGTGCGGGCCTTTTCCATTCTCTGCTGGCCCCTTCTTCAGCTTCCTGGCAGTGTCAGTGGTAGCAGGCAGCAGTCCAACAGGAAAGTCAGCTGAGGCACTCCAGACTAGCTTTAACTCTTTCCATCTCATGAAGAAAGCTGTAAAACTGGGGCAACGTTAACTCTAGTGGGAAGGAAAATGTAGAAAAGCTATTATAGATTAATAGGAAAGGAAAGCACATTTTCATGTAACATGTAAGTAAGTGGCCAGTATTCGTGGGAGCTTGGAAAACTTCCTTGAAAGCAGAGATGGGCAACGGGCAGTGTCCGGATTGCATGCGAGGGGGCCAAATGTGCCCCCCCCCCGGTGTGCCTGTGCCTCTGTAGCACCCCCACCCCCAAATGTATCTTTATCAAGGGGAGCACTTTAAAAGTGCCTTTGGACCCTAGAGCAGGCCCGGAACACAATTTTCTCCATGTTTTCACACACACACACACACACCCCATGCCTCCGCAATTTAAAATAAAGGTAGAAACGTTTATTGACCACTAGAGGGTGCAAGGCACCTTTTCTCTTTAAAATTAAAAAAAAAAAACCTTTTTTTTTAAAAGAAAAAAGAACTGGGATGGAGATCCTAGGAACTGAGTGCCCAGCTCCATGGATGGGCTTTGCCTGGTAGCTGCACTTCCTGAGACAGCTCACCTCTGCTTTTCAGGCTAATTGTAAAGATAAAATAGGAATAAGGAGCGCCATGTAGGCTGGATTGATCTTCCTGAAGGAAAATAATATAAATATTTACAAAATGGGTAAATAAATGATAAAAATGTAACCGTACAAGTCCTACTTCGTTTTGGTTAGAGGGTCGGTTTAGAGAGGATGTCTGCAACAGAAACAACCTCTTAACTGGCATCATCATTTTAAAAATGGGAGGTAGGAAGTCTCCCCCTGCCCCTCCCGCTTCTTGATAGAAGTCCCCAAGATGGGGTTAAAGCTCACTCACCCATGTATACGGGCTCTGTTTGGTTGCCCTTTTTGATCAACAATTTCAGCTGGAAAAAAATCGTAAGAAAAATCTAATCAGTTACTGCAAAGGACTCCTAAAAAGTTAACGGACCCCACTTCTGCAAGCGATAAAACAAACCAAAAAAATAAAAAAATAAAAAAATAAAAAATAAAAAATCAGAAATTGGCAGAAGTAACAGCCAACGCTGGCTTTGTGATTCTGGGCCATCTGCCAATGGCGAGAAGAACTCAATTGTGAGGTGAGTGTACAGAGAAACTTAAGAATGGGAACACCAGGTGGAGGCAAAGGCAGAGACCGCAAGCCATGGAGGAAAGAAATCTGGGGAGAAGAATGGGGATTTGCCCCTTTCATGGGGGCAGGGAGCAAATACAGTAGGATCCCCCCCGGTATCCGCAGGTTCAGTATCCACTGATTCCCTTACCCATGGTCTGAAAATATTAAAAGAAAAATTCTAGAAATACAGTATACATTTCTAAAGATGAAGCTATCAGAACTGGCCACTAGAGGGGGCCAGAGACCATGCTCTGTATTGCATTTACTAGAGCAGTACATTTCTACCATGTCATTCCCGAGCTGGCCACTAGAGGGAGCCAGAGACTATGTACAGCATCCACTATACATTAGTCGGTGTCTTTCAGAATCTGCTGGGGTGGTGGTGATGGGGGGGGGTTTGAAACCAATCCCACCCATCTACTGGGGTCCTAATATAAACACTCTCAGTCTTTGCACCAGGCACAGAAATGGCACAAATGGAAAAAAGAAATTTAACTAAACTTTTTTTTTTACCTGCAAGAAGATGGCGCCCACTTTACCCAGTTCGCTGCTTCCTGCGGTTACTGCCAGAGAGAAGGGAGAAAATAAACTAGAGGCCCCTGCAGAGGAAGGAGAGGGCAAGGGGGCACGGGGGTGGGACGGGGGACACCCGGCCCTGACATCACAAGTCCCTGGGTCCCAAGAGGCCACTCACCCACCTCCAAACTTCCATTCCATGTCCACCAGCTGGTTAATCATCAGGGTCTGACCGACAGCCAAGCGCTGGAGGGCAGGGGCGTTCTTCTTCCACTGGTGGAAGGACCCAGCAAACAGGCAAATAAACACAATTTAAAAGGTGTCAAAAGCATGGTTCTTGTGGCTAGTTCCTCTCTTTACAAAGGCGCTGGCCGGCCGCGTTCCACCGGCAGTCTGCATGCCAGAGAAGGCCCCTTTCTGCTCCAGTGAATAAAGGTCATGTCCAAAGTTCTGGCCATCGTGACCTCGGCCGCTACGGACTTTGTCCTGGCCCTTTCTCCAGTCTTCCCCGTCCACCCGCATGCCTCTGTCATGGCCCAGCCGGAACCCACTGGGAGAGAGGCCAGCTCGCCTTCTGCACAGCATCGGCCACGCTACCGGTCGCCCATCCATTCTCAATCAATCACAAGGGGGGCTAAGGTGGGGCCAGCGGGGAACGCTGAAGCCAGCCTTCCTGGCGGCTGGAGCAGACCCATGGCTGTAATCGCCCTGGGGGTGCACAGAGCCCTCACCCACCCATGCTGGCTCTCTCCCTGGCCTCCTGCCACCTTGTTAAGATATCTTTATTTGGTTAGCCATTTGACCCCGCTGGGAGATGAGGCCTTGGAAGGAGAACCTCTTGTTAACCTGCTTCAGTTGACTCTTTTACAGAGAGGCGTCCTACGTTCTACCTTTCAACGAATGCTATGGGAAAGATGGAAGAGCCATTTTATTAAAGAAACAAACCAGATCTAGCAAAGGTTTGCAGCTGACTTATCTATTGCTTATTCATTTTTAAAAGAACTGACATAGACGCTATGGATTGGGGGGGAATGTTTCTGGAATATGGAGAAGCAGACAGTTTCTCCTAGGTGAAGAGTGTCAGAGAAGGGTGTACACGAGGACAACCTTAGCCGCAGGATCAGTAACCACTGATTCCCTTATTCACGCTCTGAAAATATTAAAAGGACAATCCCAGAAAAATGTATTTCTAAGGATTAAATTAGCAGAACTGGCCACTAGGGGGAGCTAGAGACCACAGGAGTCATTATTAAAATAGCATTCACTATCATCTGCACTTTGCAGCATCTGCGAGTGGGCTAGGAACTGGTTCCTTGGCAGACCGAGGGATCCTACTGTTTTTTATCTCCCTGTCTATGTGCAGAACAGATCATACAAATAAATACCTGGGTTAGATTCAGATGAAGGAGTGAAAATGGATAGGGGCTTACAGTGAAATAATGTAAAATACCAAAAAAAAGCAACAGAGAAAATTGAAACCAAGAAACAATAAGACAGAGCAGTATGAGATTCCCTCCTCCCCCCCCAAAAAAAAACAGTAACTAGGGCAACACAACTACAAAAAGAGTCTTGACAGGCCTTTTAAGTGTAGCAGTGGCAGGGTAGCCAATTTGGGCCAGATGTTCAAAAAAAGGTGGGGGCCACAACAGGAGAGGCCCTGAATGGTCCGCCCTATTGCATGCTGAACGACATGCACGTATCGTCACACATTTTGCAGACAGCTGCCTTTATTTATTTATTGTATTTATACAGTACCCCGCCTATCTAGTCATTTCGAGCACTCTAGGCGGCTTACAACATAAAGCCTAACAAGTTCAAGAAAAAGTGACTGTACCACGATAAGCTTTAAGTATCAATCAATGAAAGCAGAAGCTTTCGGTTCTTAGGAAAGGCCCTTCGAGTGAGTCACATATTTTAGATGCTTTCTTTTCTCTTCCCTGTTGTGGTCAATCATGAACAGGAAGCCACAGAGCAGCAGCGACAGGAGGAGGAGGGAAAGCTGTTTTTTCAGTCACCGCCACCAACAAAACCTGACTCTCCGGCTACCAAGTCGGAAAGCTTGCCTTTATGACTTCAGGTATGCGGATCCCCTTTCTGAAAGCCACACTTCGTAAAAGGAACAATGTAGGCCCCTCCAGGTACGCTTCGGTTCGAGCCCCAGTGGAATGAAGGAAAGAATGGAGCAGGAAAAAACCATAATCACTCCCATGAGTAGCTCCCTTTTATTATTATTATTTTTAAAAATATCTCGATGAGCCCCTTGTATCTTTGTAAAAAAGGGTCTAATACAAAACTTGCCAGTTGAGATCCACGAGGCAGCCTGGAAAAAGGATCCAGTCATTTATGGGGCTACATCCGCTAATGCGGCCCTGCCCTGGGAACGGCGCTCCCCAAACGAACAAGGAACCTTGCGCCAGTCTCATCTTACAAAGGTTAAACTGCAGTACTGCAGCCAAAACTCTGCTCACCACCCGGGTTCAATCCCTGGCAGCCAGTTTTAAATTGCAAACCACACAAAGAGTGCTTTAAGCGTTGCGGGCGTGCGGTATATAAGCACAACCCCCCCCCCTTTTTGCACACAGATATCCAGCTTAATGGAAGTGGGCATCAGAGTTGGAAAAGTTTCCACATAAAATGTCTACTTTTTTTTTAAAAGGAAGAATATAAAACAATTGCTCAAACACATAACATCGTGTGTTACGGTAAGCAGCAAGCCCCGTTTACAAACGGGCAGCCCAGGAAATACACTCCTGTTCACATTGTTTTTTTTAAAAAAATGCAACCTCGAGGCTCCTCCTACCTGCTCTTCAAAATAGCTGGCCTTCTCCTCGCTCAGCCCTGCCGGGAGAAACAGGACGTGGTTAAGACAGAAGCTGCTGCAACCTTCCAGAATAACTGGAGGCCCCATAAAAAGAGCTTACCCAAGGTGATCAGATCTGTGCGGACCTGGTCTGCCGACAGGCTCCTCTTCAAGGCCCCTAAAATAAATATTGTGTAAAACAAAAAGCAAAGGGGGGGCATCGAAACAGACCAGAGGGTCAACATGGCTCTTGGGCAGGGTGCAAATTAAGAAAGGGAGGGCAGGGGGGGGTAAACCCAGTAAGAAATGCAGAGTCACCTATAACCAAAGTGGAAAACCACAGGCAGAGATCAAAATCAGGATGAGCGAGGAAGAGCGGCTGATAAAAAAAAAAAAGGTGAAAGCGGTCAAGTTTGGGAACCAGACGGGCCAAGTTAAACATGCTGGTCCTGTTTGGGCACAATTGTGTGTGTGCATCTGAATTTCTATTACAGGACAACCGCACACCCCTGTTATCTGTGGAGGATTGGTTCCAAGCTCTCCCCTTCCCACGTGGATGCTTAAAAAGCACGGGTAGAAGTGAACATCTAGTGAATATGCTTTTAAGCTTTCATTTATTCATTCCTTCCTTACTTGTAGAGGAAGAGAAGCTTTTTTCCCTTCAAACCTCCCCCCCCCCCAAGCTAACAAGAATTCTCCCATAGCTTCTCCTGGGGATTCTGAAAACCTGGCCTAGGTCCAAGGAATGGATCTGCAGAATTTAAACACCTTCTGGTGATCTGGTTTCCTCGACTGCAGGGGACTGTGGATAAGTGAATCCGTGGATACCAGGGTTCTACTGCATTTCATTCAAAGTAGCAGGGGCAAGAGTACGACGACGACTAATCCTCACAGTAATAATGGCAACAACAGCAATAGGAATAATAATGAGGATAGTAATGAATAATGTCAGTATCCTTGCCCCATAACTCGACAGGATCTCAAAGTCAACCAAACGGACACAAGGAAAGGCGACTGGAACCCTTCCCACCAGAGGCAATCCTTAAGATTCTAAGCCTGGGGACTTTGGGGGAGGAGGGAGACCCTTCTGCAGGCCTCCATCGTGCATGCAAACATCGGAAGCATGTATTGGAAGTATAAAAGCGGCGACACCTTAAAGACCAAGTCATTTGTTTCCCTGGGAGCTTCTGTGAAAGAATAAATGTCCTCAGATCTGAGATGCACCCAGGTTTTTAGGGGTGACGTCCAACGGAGGGAGTTCCTCCTTCCTCCCGCAGTGTCTGAGGAAGAGGATGGTGATGCACAGAAGACCACTGTGAAATAATTTGTTTTTCCTTTTTGCTGTCCCCGCTGGCGCAGTTTTTTACACGTCCACCTCTTGGGGAAACGAATTCTTCCCCCACCTCCCAATCTATAAAGAAGCTGTAAGGACAAGCAGATGGGAGTGGCTGGGCTACCAGTTTTGCTTCAGCACCTGAGGCCCAAACATCATAGGCTCAGAGTTTCAGAAAGTTACTTTTTTTGGGGGGGGGGAATACCATTCCCAGAATTCCCAATGTGCCCAGGGGATTCTGGGACTTGTAGTTTGAACACAAGTCAACGTCCCAAGCTCTTCACGTGTAGAGGACCAAGGGGAAAGGGCGACGTTGGCCCCAGCTTGCCGACATCTCCTTTGCTCCGCTGAGCCACTCACTCGCCACCCGGTAGCCCATGATTCCTGAGACCAGAGAGTTCGCGAGAACCATTTATCTGGAGCCAGAGGAACTCCTGGGACCGACACACACACCCCACGTCGTACCCAAACTCACCGTTTGGCACCAGCAGGAGGCTTTTGACAACATTCTTCAAGGGTCCAAGGCTGATCTTATTCACGCTGGCAAATTCGGAGAGCTGAGCTAGGAACCTTTCCACCTGCAAAGGGAGGGGGGGGGAGAGAAGCGACACGCAGGGTGACTCTGCCCACTTCCAGCGAGGAAAGTTGTTGGAAGTGGTGGAGCGGAAGGGACACTGCGCCTGCAGTCCTCCCGGTCTTGGGGGACTCTCCCCGTTGGGTGGTGGCCCATCTCCCAGCCATGCCCAGGATGTGTCCAGCCTCTCCCTTCAGCCCTGCCTTTAAGGAACGGGGCTCCAGCCACCCAGCCTGGGGCCAAACCAGAGCGGCCCCTTGTCCAGCATCAGCCACGACAAATGCCACCATCTGGAGAACACTGGAGGCATGACAGATTTTGAGTTTCAACTCCAGTTTATGTTTTCGTCACTAGGTGTTTTTCTTTTTCTTCCCTGTCTTATGATCTGTTGCATTTTTAATGTTTTAAAATAAAGACAATATCTTTCTAAAAAAAAATAAATACAAACAATACATTTGATTCCAAGGGCCGAAATTGGGCTCTTCTGTGCTTACTCGGGGGCCGTGTGCCTCAAGGAGACTTGACTCCCCAGTAAGGCTGCCTAGGATGGCCTCCTCAGACCCTCGTGATCTTTCTTTCCAAAAAGGTTTTCAACGACATACAAGCCCCTCACACTAACGGCCTGGATGACAGGCTTGTTGTGAATGGGCAGAGGCGTTCTGTAGACGTTTTTTAGAGGACAGGCGAAGGATGTCAGAACACAAGACCCGAATGCGCGGACGGAAGGGGCGAAACAGCTTCCCTCATTTCTCCGCCTTCTTCTGCGACAGGAGAAAGCCAGAGAATGAGATAAACCAAGAACACTGGCGTTTTATTATTTTTTTAGAGCATAAATGTTTGGAGTGTTGATTTGGGATCCAAAACATAGATTTTCTCTCTTTTTTTCATGTCCTCCATGAACACTGGACAGCTGGTTTAAGGTTTTCTGGATTTTTTCCCCGCATTTCTCATTATTTTAGGGAGATAGCACATCTTACTCTCAAAGCTCTGACACAACATTCCCGTTTAGGCCATCGCGGTTATAAAGTTTCACTGAACAAACTATGGAAAAGGCAGGATCTTACAAGGATACGTCTTGAGGAAAGGCTGTAAGGATTGTTATTTCATCTGCTGGAAGAGCAATTGGGATCAGGATGACTGAAATTCCAGCTTCCAGCCAAAACACAGCTAATGTCAGCCTGATTTTCAATCTTTCAGGGCGAGCTTACACACACACACACACACACACACACACACACACACACACACACCCCTGCAGTCGGACGATTACCTCTTTAGGTTCCTGCAGAAATTGGAAGAGGACTTCGCTCAGGGTGGAGAATTGCTGGAAAGAGACCAAAAAAACAAAAAATGAGTCACCTATAGAACGAGTCCAGCTACTGACCCACTTCTCTACTTTTTCTACATCTGGCACATCCTTTCTGGGAAAGCTCAAGAAAAATGACTTTCTTGGACTACAACTCCCCAAATCCCCAGGCCAGCATGGCCACGCTAGCTGAGGGATACTGTCATTAAAAAAAAAATTATTCCAAAACTCTGCTTTTTTGCTTACACCAACAATCGTAAATATTTTCCTAGATGTCAACAACACCTGACAATCGTGCCAGGCGCGTTTTCCATGGAAGCTGTGGCTCATGGATGAACAGAAGTCTAACCCGCCCGGAAGAAGCAGAGATGGAAGAACAGAAAGAAGGTGGT